CATAGAGAAAAAATGATATTGTGAGGAGGAGGGGGGGGGGGGGGGTGAGAAACCAAACCATCCTGCATGCCTAAGCTTCCTTCACAGCAAATTTTCTTTTGGCACCCCCCCTGCTTCTGTTTTTTTGCCCTTTCTTTTTAGGGGGAAGGAAAAAAAAGGAAAAAAAAAAAAAAAAAAAAGCGCAATACATCAGGGGCAAGATTCCCAAAATCTAAAAAGCAAACTTAAAACACATGCTAAGTTCAAATTCTCTCCTGACTGTGAGTGTGGACCTCCCTTTAGCATGGAGCATGACCAGCCTTCTGAAGAACAAGGACACAGGAAGATTTGAAAGTTGCATGTGTGCAGCACCACTGCAAGAAACATTGCACTGTTCTAGTAGCATACTAGATAATTTTGCTGGTGTCTTTTTTTTTTTTCCCCTTATGCAAAAGAACTCATTACTACTAATCTGAATTCATAATTTAATGCCTTGGTTTTTCAGTAGTACATAGAAGCAGGTAGCTATGTGCTTCTGAAAACTGACCATTTATCTTTTAAAAGGCTTTCCTATAAACTCGGCAAATTCCATGCCATGAAACTCAAGTTCTGACTCTTAAAAGTAACCTGGGTTTTATCATGTTCTTGCTAGAAGATATTAGAGCTCTTATGAGTATACTTAGGGACCTACATAAAAACTTTTAACTATACCATATTACACAGCAAAGAATGATGGTGAACTGTATGAGGAAGTGATAAAGCAAGCAAGTTTTATACAAGTGGAAGCCTTCACAGGTGTAGGTCAAATGGACCTCACCACCAAAAAGATTACAAAAAGACTGTGCCCAAAAATTTTTGGGTAATCGATGAGCCTCAGAAAATGACCAGTATGGTTGAAATATTTAGTAGGTTGCATTTTTCAAGGCTTCACTTACAAAAAGAGCAGTATCTTTCAAATTAAAATAGAAACAAGGATCAAGTCTGACTATTCAGTTAAATTACTGAAGTAAAGCTTGTTCAATGCACAAGATAAAGGAAAACATAATTTTGCAAACCAATGTAATTCCACAGACTTCTTAAGAAACTTTGTATTGTGCAAAAAGAAATGTTTTTAGAGTGCAGCAAGGTAGAGGGTTGATGTGGCCAAGAATTTAGTATGCTAGCTAAAAAGAAATCATGTAGTTAGCACAAGACACTGGCAGAATACAGAAACATCAGTGATATTCTGAAGAAGGAAAGATTTTTGGTATGTAATATTTAGGAAGAACTGGCAAAACTTCGTGGCACACTGGACAAGAAAAGGCAGAAAATTTATTAGAATGAAATCGGACAGTAAAGTCAGGTGAAGAACTTGAAAGCTGCAAAAACTTCAGACTTGCCAAGAGCAAGAGAAGCAAATTGCATTCACCACAAATACTTCAGTCGATGACACCTGGCAATGATGTCAGACTGGAGACTGAATGGGGAAGGAATTTGAAAGAAAACAAGTTTATCAGTTGCAGGAAAGGGTACAAGTGAGAACATGCGTCTTAATGCTCATCTTAGAGTATTTTTAAATGCAGCTGATATTACATGGGTAAGGGCTACTACAGCTATGCGTAATGGAACGAAATAAAATTAACTGATGGCAGAATCAAAAATGGATTTTCTGGTATGACTTCTGGTACGAAATTAAAATTCAATTCAGCATAACACATTTTCTTCATACGTAGCTCTTTAACGCTTAAAGGTACTGATGAAAATACATAATGCTGTACTTAACGCTTGCACAGCGATAAAAGACACAGCACTGCATGTAAAACTATGTGCTTGCAGAGTTTTCCTCTCTCACAAAAGTTCTACAGAACAACTAAATAAGTAAAATGTAATGCTGCAGAGCTGAACTCTAGGCTGCAAAACAACCAATGCCTAGAACTAAAATAACACAACTATAAACTTTATCCACCATCTTGTTGGGTACCCTTACATACTCTTCAGCCACCATTTTCTTTTCTATCATCATTGTTACGTTAAAAAGAAAAAAGTGAGTATTTTGTTACCGTTGGTATTGAGAACTATTAAAAAGTATTTGATTAAGTTTTTAAATCAATATTATAATCATTTTGTGCACAATCATGCACATTTAACAGTCAATTTAACTCATCTGGTATCTCACACAACCAACACAATATGCAAGAAACAACTGCTGGGAATTGTTTCAGATGCTCTAAAGTATGTTAATTTCTAAAGCAAAATGACTTGTGCTGTGAATTTTAACGCACTTGAAAGCCTGTACTTTCTCTCGTTCTGGAGCACAAATTTTGCATGTCTGAAGAGCTGTGATTCATCTTAAGAAAACCCATCTTGTGTTAAATGGAATGGAAACTGGACTAAGTGGTCAAATGACAAGTACATTCATATTCAAGCTGTATTATAAATGCATGTACAGTAATTTACGTCTCTCAGCTACCACAAAAGGCTCTTGATAAGCAGGTAATTTGCTAAATGGACTCCTTTATCCAAGTATTCGAAGGGCGTTACAAGAAAAATCTGCAGAGGCATTAATGTGACGTAAAGGTCAAGCATTGTGACATACCTTTCAAATAATCCCGCCTAACTTGCGATATGATGAGGAGGCTGCTGGCAGCACTGTTCAGTGTGAAGCCCTTGATGTGGGTCTCAGCACTAAAAGAAGCAGACATTTAGAAAGGAATTACTGACATGCTTCTGATACGATAATAAATGGTTGAGCACCAAGGTGAAATTATAAAAACTACTGTTCGTATGTTAAAAATATTGCTGCAAAATATCGACCTGGAGACAGCTTTTGTGTTATCCTGTCAATGGTTATAGAAGGATAATTTTTTTTTGCATTCTGACAGATGACAAAGTTGGAAGTGAGCAACAAAAGAAACAAAGTACAAGATTTTTTTTAAACAATCGGTTCAGATTCTTGAATGCTGACATATTAGATGACTAAAATAACTGCATGCCCTGCATTGTTCTGTTGTATCCTAAGCTGGATACTTTTTCTTCTTTTTTCAATAGTCACCATAATTATAAAATGTAAAACTATTCTTTCAGCAATAAAAATGAAACATTTATTTTCAGCACTGTATATTTTAAACATAAACTAAAGCATATTATGAACTAACACCATATCATTTGGTTGATTAATTTTCAAATTTCTGTCATCTAGATGTATACAGGTTTTAAAGTGAACATACTACATTTGCTGCCTTAGCCATGTCAAAATTGTATTTCGCTTATCAATTCTTTATCTCCTGTAATACAAAACTTCATGTATCTATAGCAAAGAGAATCTTTAATAACACTGCTAAAGCTTTTCTAACACTCTGGAAATTAGTCAGGAGAGAATACCCAGCAATCACATTGATCTTATACTACAAAATGTTCCCGTTCCTAAATGACATGTAGCCACATTTTTAATATATAAGGATAACTTTACAAATGTTCATTTCTAGATTACAAAATCTCTACACAGAGAAGGGGGGCATTGCCATTTACCATATCAGCAATCAAGATAAGCCTCACTGATCATCTTGTGGCAAACAACTGAGCAGCCTACCTACTTGAACTTAGAGGCTGAGCGGATTGGGAGGTAAGCAGGGTCATTGCTAAATTATTCTCCTCAATCCCAAGAAAATCCTTCACATCGCACACAATATGACTATCCTCTCAGTCACTTTCAGCCTCCCAGGCTCACAAATGCAGTCACTGGACTCGGGATTTTCTTACTCTCCCAACCAATCCTCTTAATCCCTGCCTAAGCACCCACTGCTCAGTTCTGCCTTTTTTTTTTTCCCTTTGTCCCATCTGTCAAAGCCCTTAAGTCAACAATTCATGCATGAGACTGTAAATTACATATAACAAAAGATTTACTTTCTCCAATCTTCCAATCTTTAGTGTGATTAAATAGATGTTAGCTACTATTACAGAACTAATCCATCATTCTAATACTCCTAAATTTCTATTTAAAACTTCTTGGACTAATGCAGTAAATATTCCTCAAAACAGTGCTAGAATGCCAAAGCAACTAGACTTGGGTTGACCAACAGATCAGTAACCTTCTGGTTTTTTTGGTCGCTTTGTTTTTTTTCAAATGCAGAGTAGGAGTGCAATTTCCTTCTACCACATCACTTTCTCATGGAAGTTTCTCAGTTCTGGTAACAGAAGGGAAGTTTTAAAATTATCTGGCCTTTGCAAAAAAAATTACTTTGTTGCCTATGCTAATACTCATACTAAGGCTCCCTAAATATTATTTAAATTTCAAATCTGGCTTCAAGCAGTAAAAAGAAAAAGATGTTAGCTTATATAGATGAAGGTAGCTTTCCTGTATTTTATGAAAATATTAGGAGTTGCACAAGTTTCAGGCCACTGAACACATTTAGGCTTTGTAAGACTAATCTCTTTGTAATATGAGGTTGGAAAAATTGTCAAGCATGCAGAAATGTGTGCGAAACACAGATTTGCTATTCCTCGACCATATGTACACACACAATCACTTTCTTTATTTCAGTGAATAATTTAAAACTTACAGACTTTTGAAAATGCTTAATGTAAGCACGATTTTGTTACTAAAGAAAAAGGTACACAGAACACTATGAACACTGCCAATATGAAGCATTTTCTGTCTTGATGCAACAGCAAGCCGTTACAGGCTGCTTAGAATGTCATTATTCGGCACTTCTGTGCTGCAAGATGGAGCATAAGAGTTCTGAAAAGCACAGGGGTTATTATGATGGCTGACTCTGACCAGTGACCAAGCACAGAACCTCTTACTAAATCCTATTTTCTTTTTCCTAAATATCTCAAGGTTCAGAGGCTTCATCCTTTAATACTCATCTCCAACTCTTTCAGTCTTTAAAATTTTGTTCATTTTTTCCTGCATTTTGAATTTACATACTAAAACACATATCTAAAGTGGGAATTCTGAATCATCGAAATATTAGGAAGAAGCCACCACCTTCTTTCTGCTCTTCCAATCTGAAAATTACTGCAGATAACATGCAATACTTGGTGCATCTTTGTTACAAGTGTGTTTGAGCTGCAGACCAGGGAAGCAGTCAATGCATGTACGAATCTTCAGTAGAAAGTTTCAAGCTGCTTCTCTGAAGAATCTTTCAATACATCTTTTGATACACGAATATTTTCTGCAAATGTTTAATAAACTACCTAAATTTTAAGAACATTCTTTTTTTCTTCTAAAACATGTCCTTTCCATCTTCTATTTACAAGGATTTATCAGTTACTTCCATTTCAGGGAGCTTAATTTGATAAACTGTTTTAGTGTTTCCCTAATATAAGCCATATATCCATCAAGCACAAACAATCCTTATCATAAAGCCCAGTTACCAAGACCTATTTGAAAAAATATTATTTGTTCTTCTGAATGCAGAAGTCAAATACCTTTTCAATGAAAGACATTTCTTCAGTCTAAACACTTTTAAAGAAAACATGAAAATGATAAACATCATCTTACACTATACTGTTCCCAGACATCAAAAACTAAAGTTGACTCTAAAAATTATTAGATTTTTATAGTGCCCTATGCATCATGTAAGTTACCTACAGACACTTTGAAATTCACTGTATTCAGTCAGAGAACACACTTGATGACAACCACTGTTCCTGTTTTAGCTGAAGAAACTGAAAGACTTAAATCACATAAACTTAAGTTTTTGTTCTTCTTACGTCTACACTGATGAATAGTAACACTTTTACTCCGAAGCCTACAATGTAACCAGACCACACATTACAGGCAGTAATTAAAGCCAGTGCTGTACCATACAACTCACTAAAGGTTAATTTGATTCTGGTGATTCTAATAATACATGACAGCAGGTTGGATTTATTTCAGAAGTGTAAGAGTTGGATTTAAGGTTTATGGTCATCTCCTAGCCACTGGCATCACAGTCAAATGTACCATTTTGCATCTGGCAGGCAGCCAGCTGTGAGGGAGTGTGGGTAGGGTAAGACAGCAGCAGGGATGGGCATTGAGGGGAAGGCTCACGGGCAGTTAAATGAAGGAATCTTGTCCGTTTGGATATTGCTCTGCAGAGGAAAAGGCAGACTGCCAGAAGGGTAGACTTTCAGTTCTGATGCCAAGTACATTTGTTGATACTGTTAGTTGAAATGAGTTATTAGCAATACATACTGTCACTCTAGTAACTCTTCAATATATGGCATATCGCCCTATGCAACACTGGTGTATTTCATATCATAACTCCTAATTACCAGTCATGACCTGTTTTCCCATTGAAAGATAAGGACTTCCTGAAAATGATCCAGAAATTATTTTAAAACACTCCCACCCCAATTAAAATCCCCCAAACACAGAAAAGCCTTACATGTGTTTCACTTTGATGGCTTCTTCAAGACAATTCTGTGTTAACAAAGCTTTTATAAGGGTGACATAAGAACGATAATGAAACTCATTCTTCCCTTGCATTTTCAGGAAAACACTGTAGGCCTCTGGAGCGGGAGGAAAAAAAAAGCCAAAATGAAATATCATATTGTGATTATGTTGATCATAGAAACAAATCAGCTATTCATTGTAAAGGTCCATCTTAAATCTGTTTATCCTCTGCTTACACCTTTGAGCCCAAAGCTGTTCGTCACACCTTATTCAAAACTACTTGTATAAAACAATCAACTGACACATCTTCCACAGAACAAAATGTTTGCTACTCCTGTTTTTCTGTACATGGCTGTTGCTTAAATACCACAGCTGGTTAGAAGGGGAAGACTCAGGATTTTTAAAGCAACACCTAATTCTGGGGTATATAGCTACAGTGTCTGGTGCATGATCACAACAGCATTTAACAAATAATATAGGAGGCGATTCCAATATGGGGAGATGAAATTATTTGGCTACGACAAGATTTATACAAAACATACAATTTACAAATATACAGATATTTAACAAGTAAACTACGCTGCATTTGTTTGACTGATTAACAGTTTTATTTCATGCATTCACAATAACTGTCAGTGTATGAAAAGATGTTACCAAAAAGGGGGAAAAAATGATAAGCACACTTTTCAGTCATTTATTTTTCTGAAACAAGATTATGCAGCTATAAACATGCAGCTAAAACTGCTATCCAGTCTATAACATATGCTAGAAAGCTGTGTTAAGAACCACAAATGATCTTTTACATCTAAACTGTGATTGCATGTTCCATTCAATGAAACTCAAAAAATAATCCCTTTGCTAATTCAAATCATAACCACAATAACCTTTAAAACTTCTCAGATACACTTGGATTATCACTATGAATTTCACAGCTAAGTGGTTTTTTTCTTATACTTTGAAAGTACAGATGAAGACAACTCATTTGAGTCTTACTGTCACAAAAAGTGTCACACTAATAGCACTTACTACAGTGTGCTGCGGAATTTTAAGTTGGCATTCCCCAAACCAAAGTGTGCCTTTTGGTTTGAATCTTAAACTTCTTCAACCAAAGAGTATACAGAAAAACCTCCTGAAATGTGGGCACAAAAATGACTATGCATAAAATTTATTATTTACAACACACAAACCCTTACACTGAATTAATAATTAGAATTAATGTTGCCATCCATAATCTACTCTGGATGCTTGGAGCTACATTAAATATATATATGAACAGAGATAAAGG